TCGGTCCACATACTGCTGAAGCCTACCTTGGAGGATTTTGAGCATAACCTTGCTAGCGTGTGAAATGAGTGCAATTCTTTGGCATTGCTTTTCTTTGGGATTGGGATGTAGACTGATCTTTTCCAATCCTCTGGATACTGCTGAGTATTCCAAACTGGCTGGCATATTGAGTATAGCACCTTAACAGCGTCATCTTTTATGATTTTAAATAGTTCAACTGGAATGCCATCACCTCCATTGGCCTTGTTCTTAGCCATGCTTTCTAAGGCCCACTTGACTTCACTCTCCAGGATGTCTGGCACCAGGTCAGCAACCACACTACCTGGGTTGTCCGGGACATCCAGATCTTTCTGGTATCATTCCTCTGTGTATTCTTGCCACCTCTTCTTGATGACTTCTGCTTCTGTAAGGTCCCTACCATTTTTGTCCTTTATCATGTCCATCTTTGCACAAAATGTTCCTTTAACATCTCCAATTTTCTTGAACAGATCTCTGGTTTTTCCCTTTCTATTATTTTCCTCTATATCTTTGCACTGTCTGGGTAGCCGAGTGAACTGAAATACCTGACTGCAAAGCCAGTGTTCAGGGGTTTGATCCCCCACTGTGCCTCACAGGAAAAGAACTAGGCTAGAGCACCCCAAGCAGAGGAGACTGGTAAACACTTCTGAAGAGTGTAGTTAGGAAACCTGGGAAAGTGTCCCCATCAGTTGGAATTGACTTGATAAGAGATAATTATTATTGTTAGTTAAACTTGTAGGTTTTAGGATGTGAAAAATGTTGTCAGACAACTCCCAGCATTCATGTCCTGGACTGGGCTGATCGGACTCCAACAACATCTAGAAGACCTCATTTTATAGCATCCTGGTACAAAATAGTAGCTTACATTAAAAGGAATGGGCATTTCCAGTCCCTTTATCCCTTTTTTGGTCTTTAATCATAATATTTTATTGTATTTATGAAAACTCCATGTGGACTCAACTTAGTTCCTCATTAATTTGAATCTTAGGATATCAGTTATCTGAAAAATCTTTACAGGCAATCACATATTTTTGTATTTCTATCCATATTTGTATACAGGGATCTTGATGTAGTAGAACAAAAATCTTTTGGGAATGGATATGTCAAGTGTATCATTTGCAGTATTTAGAAAAAGCAGACTAATACTGTTTCCACATGGCTGTGTAACTACATAAGAATTTCTCAGCCTTAAGATGGGTTCTTGAAAGCAGTTACTGTCTCATGGGTGATCACAAGGAGATGGTGATGAGAGATTAAGTCAGTTTTTTATTCTAGTACAGCTGTTGGTTTGATCAGAAGCCAAACACTTAAAACAATTGTGATTTATCAGATGGGGAGAAAGAGGCAAGACTGTTTGCCAGACTATTCAGAGATTGGAATCTACCACAGTGATTGGACTGTTGTTTTTGGGGAAGATGGGGCAGTGGAGAAAGGTTATGTGTTAAGTATCATCTGGAAAAAGAGTGTTTCTGTTTTATTATCTGTTTGAAATGGAAAAAGATACACATTGGGAGAACAAAAGGACCACAAAACTCTTAATGGATTTCTTAGAGAAGATGATATACCTAGATCTATATATTTACATTATATATAAAAAAAATTAAATTGGGTTTTACTCTTGATGTCACTACAGATGCTTGCGAACCATAAATTTAAAATTTGATGAATTGTTTGTTGAAAACATAAATGGATGGTGAAAACCCCCAGAAGTACCTTTCCAAATTGGGGGGGGGGAGGCAGCTGTGGGGACATCATATGCAATGTAAATGTTCTATATATGTATTTTACACACACACACACACACACACACACACATGATAATTGAGGGTGAGGTCTCATCTTGACATCATGGAAGCAGTACTAGTTATCTGTCTACCCACTCTTTGCGTAGTTGGTGTATACAATTAAGAAATAAAAGTGGCGTCATCTACTCATATGTAAGAAAAGGTCCCTCCCCCCACAAAATAATCAGGTAGGTTATGGTATATGAAGTAAAGGAATCAAATTGTTACATTTCAGTGGAATTTCTTTCATTATTGTCATCAAACTAGCATTGCACTGGCATTACAGCATCAGCATGACTGAACTTCCCTCCCCTACCTCTGTAATCCTTGATACTCCCAGAAAATCAGGTCCATAGGATTTACCAGCTCTTCAGAGAAGATCTTGGAGTACATGGGGTGGCTGGTGTGTGGAAGGACATATCAAGCCTTCTGATTTTACTGATGGACACAGTTCCCGCAGCAGATATACCCCTTTTGATGTTGGCCATTGTTTGGAAATGGGTTCCAGCAGCCTGAAACAGGATTCATTTCCAAAATGTGGAGTTCGGTCTGTGCAAGACTGTGAGAGAAAAATCCAGCGGACACTCTTTGATGTTTCATAAGTTGTATTCCAACTCCTTCCCTTTCAAAGAGAATAGGGTTCATGCATCATAGCTGTTCAGGATCAGCTGTTCAGGATTACAAGAACTGATGCTAATATACTATTGCAATTAGAAGATGAAACACAGGCATCCTAAAATGTCTGTAACTATGTGAGACACTGGTAGAGTAATGTGGTTTTAAAACTATGTGTTACACTTACGTACTTTTGGTTCACTACATAATAAGAGCTGACATTCTGGAACTTTTCAGGGCAGAATAGATAGCCCATATTTTGGGGTGGAGGGAAGAAGTTCCCTGCTTGAATGATAGACTGCACTGCATTTACAGCCATAATAAAAACAAAGACATGTAGGACATCATAGTGCCTTAATTGATGGCTTTACTTCCTAGAATCAGTGAGATCAATAAGAGCTTTTGCTAAGGTGCTTGGGAATTCTAGGAGTTGCCATCCAAAATCACAAATCTGTACAGCTCTAGAAGAAAGGAACAGGCTATTAGGTATTAATGTTCATGAAAAAGAAGACAGTTCATTAAAAAAGGGTCAATTACCTCCCTTCAATCGACATTTGAAATCACACATGGCTTACAAATACATAGGAAAACTCAGTCGTTCAGTAACTGCAATGATTTGTTTTCTTTTGCTGCTTATATAGAAATAGATATGAATTCATTCTCTGTACTTTTTTCATGCAGGAAATACATTTCAGTATATTTGAATAGTGCACACCAGAAGGATGAATGAAATATTAAGATAATGTTATTAACAGATTTATTTTTGAAAAACACAGTAACACTTAACGGTTTATAAAGAATACTTACTCTAAAAATAATAGTCACAATTCCAAACAATGTTGCTTTTCCAGGCACTATGTGTATGGTTAGTTTTATTATATTTCCATGGGGCTGTTGCTTTCTAGGAGAACCTCAGTTTATTTTGTTCATGTCAGCAGATGGTTTAGTGTAATCAGATAGTTCTGTTTTTTTAACCTGTACATTTGTAGTATGCAATGAAACATAAGAGGTCTAAGTTTAATGAGATCAAGGCCTCTTAGAAATTTCAACTGACTGCTTCAGACTGATCCTTGATATGAATGTGCAACAAACATTTTACTGTATTTTATTTTCTTTGTATCTGTTCTATTTGACTGCTTCTACAATGAAAATGGGATAGATTCAAGTTTGCATTTTGAGTGTGTACTAGGTTAGGATTATTTTTTTTCTTTCCAAAAAATGAAATTTAAATATCAGGGGAATACTAGTACACAGATTTCCAGTTATGGCTGCAGAACTGCAGTCACATGAAGTATTTAAAACGTAAGTCAAGCATAAACAAAACTGCATCCCTTCCTGCCACCGTCCCAAAGCTGTGTATAGGATGACCTCATGTTGTCTTTTAGCGAGGGTAATCCTTTATTTGAAGAGCTGTCTCAGGACAATTGCCCTTTTGAAGGCTCTCCATTTGAAGAGGTGTTGTTATTTAGTCATTAAGTTATGTCTAACTCTTTGTGACCCATGGACCAGAGCATACCAGGCCCTCCTGTCTTCCACTGCCTCCCACAGTTTGGTCAAATTTGGTAGCTTCGATTTGAAGAGCAGTCCAGTTCAAGTCTGATTTGAAGAGAAAGAAACATAAGGGGCAGGAGAGATCATGGAACCTGGACATTTCTCATCCGCAGCCACACACCCCACGTGCTCTCAAGAAATATAGTACAGTTTTATTTAAACTGCAAAATCTTTTCCAGTTGTGCAGCTGAACATACATATTAGCATGTGCAATTTGATATAAGCCAGTTTCTCCCATTGACATTTTTGATGATGCATGTCATCCGTTTTGATGATATATAATTGTTCACTCCAGCTGGCTAGGAAATAACTGAAAACTGCAATACCAGGTTTACCAAATAATCAGAGCATCTGTGTGTCTTCCTAGTCAGTCAGTAGCAGGCACAATACAGTAAGCACCTAATTTATCATCTTTCTTTTCCATTGCAAATTCCAGATCTCCTCCCTGATAGCTGTCCCTTAATTATCATCATCATCATGTGCCATTAAATCAATTCTAAGTTATGTGAACGGGGTTTTCCAGGTAGAGAATACTCAGAAGTGGTCTGCCATTCTCTTCTTCTGGAGCATCCTGGGACTGTACAGCTTGCCCAAGGACACACAGGTTGTACTCTCAGGAGGCACAGTGAGGAATCGAACTCTCAACCTCTGACTCCACAGCCAGATTCCTAAACCACATGGCAACCCAGCCAGTCATAACTGTCCCTTATGCATCCCAAAACCTGTCGTAGAATGTGTGCTGAGACAGCTGTAGGGAAGAAGAAAGGGGAAAGTCTGACAATCTAGGTGTGATCTGACAAGCATCACATTGGACTTAACTTTCAAATTTAAATTAAAAGATTACAAGTGTTTCCAAAATAGTTGGAGGAGGAGAAATTCAAGTGTATTGTTTATTTTGTTTTTCGTGATGTTTGTTACCTGCCTTTTTGGGGGGGAAAAGGGAAGGACAGGGTTTTTTAAAAAATGAAAAATAAAGAGATTATAATTATAAATGTTAAGTCTTTGCATAATTGTTCTATTTTGATTTTATAGGTCATAATGATTACATGTGTCCTGCTACCAACCAGTGCACCATTGACAAGAACAGGAGAAAAAGCTGCCAGGCTTGTAGGCTGCGTAAATGCTATGAAGTTGGAATGATGAAAGGCGGTAGGTACCCATCTGTGAATTTGATCTGATACAAGTATTTCTCAATCAACTGTTGTCTTCTTTATATAACTCCTAAGGAGAAAAAGGCACAAAACAATTCTTAAGAAGAATGGCAATTAATTTTAGAAGATCCATGTTTTAAAGAAAAGGAATGAGGATTTTATAATAAGGCCTCACTAGCCAAGTGGGTTTTATGGGCTTTTATAGCCTCCCAACCAAATGATGTGCAAGAAACTGAATGCCACAGTCTTTGGGAACATTTGCTCTTTGGTTAGCTGATTATTTTGATCACAGGCAGCATTGATAGTGTGACATTGGGTGGTGCAGAAATGATTATGATGTAGGATCAATTCACATGGCCCTTTGCATTTTAGTTGAACTGCACAAAGCTAACAACCTGGCTTGAATGGAAATTTGGGTTGTATGTTGATCCAGTCAAAGTGACTGATAATTACAGTACTTGCCCATCTACAAGATACAGTATCTATTTCGAACTTACGTGTTGGTATTTAAAAGTCAAGTTATGATAGGGACATTTAATTTGGGAAGATATGAAAAATCCATAAAAACAATGATGCCTTTTTCTAGCTGCTGTTATCTCTTTCCTTACGTCTGTATTCTTCCTAAGAAGATATGCCTCATACCAGCATAGCACAGACTCATTTATCACCTATTACCAGCACAGCACAGGTTTGCCTAAACTTATATTTAGTTGCTGTATTGCATTTAGCAAAGGCCTTAAATTGACCTTAGCACACAGAACTGAATCTAGTTCTGAATTCCGTTAATGGAACAAGGAGGAACACTATCTCCTCTCACCCTAGTCTTCTTTAGAACCAAAAAGTGTAATTTGTAAGGTATCACAGTAACTTGAAACAGATTTTGGGGGCACACAGAAAGCTGTGGAAGGGCAAGTACCATTTTCCAAGTGGTAAAAAAGCTACTGTCAGTGAACCAACTTCACCAATCAATTTAATTCAAGGTCTAAAATTGCAATATCGCAATTCCAGAATGTAAAGCAGTTTTTATATATACTAAATTATCAGCAAACTTGTGAGATAAAACTTGTACTAATTTTAGAGTTGGGCAAATCTGAAAGTTTTGCCTTTTTCCACATTTCAGTGTAGAAGTTATGCTATATTCTGATAAGTGAACTGAACTGAAATTCTCAGTCATCTCTAGAGGATGGACAAATCTATCAGTTTCTCTTTCTTTCATATTTGACTTCTGCCAATTTTCGTAAATAAATAAATTAAATTAAATATTCAGAAACAAAATTGGCACTGATCCCTAACTGATTTCAGTGATTCACAGTTTTTCTTGAACCCATTTAAGTGAAACTGTTATGGAGAAACATTTCTTTGAACATACTCTGTATTTTGGATCACCGTTCAAGCTCCCAAAAGTTTTTAAGATTTGTTAGACAATATAAAAAGATTTCACATCATCTGATTTCACCATCTGTTTCTTCCTAATAGCTAAGTATGGTGAATTTTTTTTAACATTTTACCAATGTATCTAAACTAAATTTGCTAAGGTTTTTAAGATTACCAGGAATTTTTTTCTTCCTGAATACAGTATAGTTCTAATTAAAGTTTATACATATTCTTCATCCCTTTATCATATTTTTAATCATGCTACAATAAGAATTTATTAAAAGCCAAACTAATGAGACAGGGAAAACAAGAGATTATTAAAGGAATTCTCAGAAGCAAATATGAATTAATTTTTTAATGTACTATCTGGAACGATTCCAAGAATTCTAATTTATCTTGTAATTCTCTTATAATGCAACATTGTAGTCTACTAAAAATAGTACTTAGTGAACAAGAAAGAGAAATACTCAAGCTGCATGAAACTGTTTTGCTCTGAAGTGGCCCTCTAGAATATTTGATAAACACTCTGTTCTCTGCAGTTGTTCAGGTGGTGGGCACAGTTCTTAGTATCTGTGTGCTTTAAGAGCCAATTAACAGAGAGGGCACTGCCAAATACTTTTCATATAGAACTCTGTTCATCTTCTGTAAGAGTGAAGTCAGATTCAGAGTGTCCCTGTTGTTTAAATATTCCTCACAATGGTTCCTCTAACCTGTTGGTGTTCCAGAAGTACAATTTGCTCTTTGCTTCTCGTTAGCGGCAAGAGAATATTCCCCTGTACAACCACACCTCAAATGTGCATCTGAAGGAGAAACTACAGAACACCAACCCTTTTTAGCAGGACCGTAAAGTATTGCCCAACCCAGCTTTTGGATATTCCTCATGGATGATTCCTTCCTTCCTTCCTTCCTTCCTTCCATGACTAACCAACCAAACCACCCACCCACCCACCCACCCACCCATCCATCCATCCATCCATCCATCCATCCATCCATCCATCCATCCATCCATCCATCCATCCAAATCTATGGTACAATACCATATGTTTGACTGCCCAAGCTATGACCAAAAATAGTTCCTGGCTAGCAACTTTACAGTTTTCACCCTTAATTCTAAATGCATTACATTGGCCTAACTTTTCTACTGTGCACAGAGTGGACTGGATCACTGGTCAATTCCCTCTCTATCCTCAGTACCTTGTGTCCACTGAAAATCTGCTCTTGGAAGGTGGAAAATTCTTAGGAATACAGTGGGGTATGGAAGGGAGAAACCTGGTGAGAACCACCCTTCATTAATATAGACAGGAAAACAATTTAGGATTGAAGTCATTGCCCTGAAATCATCGGTGGTTGTTTGTTTGTTTGTTTGATTGATTGTTTGCAGGGAATTATGTCCTGTCCTCTGCTGTTTATATGCCACCCAGAGTAGCTAACAGCAGTTAAGGCCAGCCGTAAGCGACAATAAAATTCCCAAGCAGTAACAATACAATAAAACTAGACAGATGCCGTACACAAAATGGTAGACTGAAACTCATAAAACTCATATGACCTCACTGTTATCATGCTTAGAAGGAAAATGGTCTTTCCTGATACAGTCATTTCCTTTCATGCATATGGAGCTTTTCTTATTATTGACATAAAACCGACAGCCTGTCATGGGGAGAACATTTGCTTGGAGTCTACAAAAAAAGATGGTTTTGTATTCCTACTCTGTTTTATTTAAAGCAGCATGGTGACTGAACAATCTAATTAGAAATTAGAGCTTGGAAAAATGACTTCTGGGTCATCTGCGTTGGCCAAATGCTAGGGCTCACAAATGTTCCACTTTTCTTTTCCACGTGTTCGCCACAGGCAGGACAGATCTCCAAAGCCAATTATTTCCCCACTGCTGTCCTCCCTTCTGTAAGACAAAAGTGGTTTTGGAGGAGGGTGGCAGAAGATTGCCTGGGAGTAACAAAAACTACCATCAGATGCAGGTGAAGATTGGAGAAAGGGGCTCTGACCTTAGGCCAGAACATGTATTCTTTGTTGGTGTTTTCTCCTCTTGGTGGGTGGGCCCTCAATTTTGTCACTGCTGCCATAATCCCAAGTGACTCATAGTGACGTTCTGCCCTCCCCCCATTCCTCTTTCCACCTGTGCCCTACGGCAGGTGTGTGCCAGCTGTGGTGGTATTGCACTGTTTTTCCCCTCCTCTCTTCCACTTGGTGGGTGGAGAGAGCTGCTGCTTTGCCATTGCCTTTTTGTATGGGGAGGATGGCAGATAAGTGTCTCTGGTAAGCAGGGGTGCGTACATGTGCATGTATACAGAAAGAAGGAGGGGATATGGAGCAATACCTTGTTTCCTGCATCAACTGGTAGATTTAGGCAGTCCCTGTTCATGCGGTTTAAAGTCTAGTGTAAGGGTTTGAGGAAAAGGAAATGCTTTCATGTTTTATGGAAATATGTATTATTTTTCTTTGCAGCATTGGATTTTCCTTAACACTACACAGGTTGTTTTTTCCTTAACACTACACAGGTTGTTTTGTTATTCCGCACTTTGTAGCAGGGGCTTGAGAATAAGAACTCTGAGGATGCTATCTTGGCCTGTTGCAGCCTTGGTGTTCTTTGAGCAGATGCAGAGAAACTGAACAATGTGCCATCTGTATCTCTCTGATATGTAGATATTACTCTTCATATGTCCTTTCTGTTTTCTCATGACTTTTGAGCAAAATATGAATTATGAATTGTGAATCAATTCATAATTTATAGTTTCATATTATGTTGTTATCTCTTCCCCCTCCTCCCGATAGAAGCATGGCCAGTAAGTGTCTGTCTCCCTCGTTAGAGCTCAGCACTTATCAAGTATTCCAACCCAATATGGATGCAACATGATATGCCATATTTCATATGTTTAAATCATCACAGTTGCATTGTCCTCAAAACGAAGTTATTTTAAATTCATGTGATAATGAAATACTGATCTAATCACTGTAATTTTACAGTTTTGCCATGAAGTTACTTTTATAATCAATAACACTGCTTGAGTATTCAGCATTAATAATATACGATACCTAAGGCAGACTAAGAAGGCTGATGGATCCAGATGCTTTCCTGATGGCATTTAGGGAGTTTTCTATCATCTTGGCAGATGCTTCTGTTGAAGACCTAATTGATCTCTGGAATGGGGAAATGGCAAAAATAATTGATAAGATTGCTCCTAAATTTCTCCTACTGCAAAGCAGAGCGAAACTGGTCACCTGGTTTACCAAGGAGCTGGTGGTGATGAAACTAGTGGGATGTAGACTTGAGTGACAATGGCAGAAACCTGACTTAACATGGGGCAGGGCCCATTGGGAGGCCTATTCCATGGCAGTGGCGACAGCGGTGAAGAAGAAGCTATTCTTCTCTGCCACTGTTGCATCTCCACTGGGTTGTTCAGGGAGCTCTTTTGGGTGAGCAAGGGCCTACTACATCATGGCCTGAAGGAAGAGAATATAGAACACACTGTAGCTCACTGTGAAGAATTTGCACAACACTCTGCAGATAGAATTGCTCAGATCCACTCTAACTTGGATGGAGTGTTTGATACAGGTCCTGTGAATCTAACTATGCCCCTTGCTTGCCCTGGGTATATGGACAGGTCCCTG